CTCTCTCTCTCTCTCTCTCTCTCTCTCTCTCTCTCTCTCTCTCTCTCGTTCAAACAAAATGTTTGTTATTGTTCGTCTACGACCTTTTGTCGCATGGCTTTCAATCCTTGTTTCTATTGTTTGGTGTGTCTTAAAGTGACGAGGATGAAGACGAAATCATAAATATGTGTGTTGGAAATTCAATTGGCAGATGTTTTGCCACGCATCGATTGATGCGTTCTGATGTAAACAAAACTACCGAGAGAAATTGTATGTGTCAAAGATGCGTCGTTTTTTTGTTGTTGTTGTTTCATTTTATTGAATTTTTAAATGGAAAAATTATGATTCAATATATTTTTGAGAACATCAAATAAATTTTTGAAGAAAAAAAAATGGATTCAATTTAAATCAAACTCGAACAGATGCCAGCCAATTGGTTTCACCTCAAGATGAATTTTTACTGTAAATGTTAGCTCCTCGTATTCTTCCACGTAGAATTGAAATTCAAGCAACCACTTTCCAGGCACAATGCGAGGCAGCTTTAAACTCTGGCTGAATTGGAAGTTCCGCATGTAAAGTGCACCCTGAGAAAAGAATAATGAGATTATTGATGACATCAGGAGCAATGACACAAGAAGTGCCCCATATTTCTGTATTTTAAATCAAATTCTTTTGAAACTTTGTTATGTAGATTTCTCAAAAAGAAAATCGAACTAACGCAAAAATATTATAATAAATTGTAAACTACATATTGGTAAATGCGCCTAATAGAGCAATCACTGGTGCTCTTTTCTTCGAATTGACACAATTTTACTTAAATTACGAATTTACTCACCGAAAATGGGCACGGAGTATTTAAATTACTCTTCGTAATCATTTCAGGCAGGAAAATGGAAATGAATAGCTTTGAAAATTGTCCGCCCGAATATTCGCACACATCGATGGTTGTATTTTTGAAAATTACTGCTTTATACTCGCCATGACTCCAATGATATGTACTGACACGTGCCTAGGATTTGTTATTTAAAACCACTTTTAAATTGAACCAAGTTTCGTTTGATGAAAAAAGTTATTCCATAAGGAAATTGAAGGGTGAATCAAGAAGTACGTGCGATTCAAGGATTGATCGTACTCTTGCTATCTTTTTTTTATGACATAAAATCAACGATCACCCAAATGAACGTAAAAATATTTTCAAAGCTAATATTTTCGAGCCAAGCAGTTTGGTTTGAAGTTCCAAGTTCAACATTTTTCTTGTGCTTTTACTTGAAAAATCTACTAAAAACTTCAAAATTTTGACGAAAATTGCTTTAGAAGAAAGTTAAAATGGATTCAATGTTATCAATCAAGAATTTCTCTCTTGAAACTTGACTGAAGAAACAAATAGTAAAACTTAAATTCAAGTCAAAAATTACTGAATCAATGACTGACCATTTCTTATGATAAATGTTCATTATTTGATAATTTACAAAAAGAGTACCATCATGTGAGGGAGGGAGAATCCATCGGGAAGTATGCTTTCAAATGACCAGTATTGCGTAGTGTTGTCGATCACATCAAATTTGCACGTATAATTGAATTTAAACGGTGTATTTGTTTCGCATTCCAAACTCTCGCCGATCACTTCATAATTTTGAAAGACAAAATTGTAGGCGATAAGAAGAACGGCCAAAATAATGGCTAAAACGACAAGCACCCATCTCGATATATTTACAATGCGTTGCATTGTCCGATTTCGCGGTGAGTGTTTAAGTGACCGAAATCGGTTTTTCAGGTCTTCAGTGCAAGTGATTGCTTTGCTGTCCATGTCGAATGTCTAACTGAATATCCTCTCGTCGAATCAACAATTTTCGGCATGATAATTCCGAATTTCCGAATCACGGCCTTTTTTCCGATCGTTATCAATCGTATAATTTTTCAGTTGAATGGCATGCGCCATGCAAACGATCATAACGTCGAATGACGACATTTGTATACAAACCCCCCTAATGATTTTAATGAGTTTGATTACAACACAAATCAGTTTTTTTAATTATACCGATCGTCTCACGGGATTTGCACAGAGTCCCAACATTCAGATGTTAATCAATGTGTAACACAGTGCCCGTTGAAAGAGACATTTAAAGGTCAACACATACACACACACACACACACAATGTGCGACCGAAATATAATGATTCCATGTATTGAGTGTCGTTTCATGGATAATTTCGCATCTGGCTCTCTATCATAATCGTTCAATCGATTTCATCGTTTAAGTTTCGAAATTAGAAATGGCTGAGTGCCCATCGCCGAGTGCTAAATGGGTTCATGGATCGAGCGGAAAACATTGGGCATTTTTGGATGAATGCAATAAATCATAAATAAAATTTGATCGCCAGTTAATGGGAATAAAGCTGCAAAAGAGATGAGAGAGAGAGAGAGAGAGAGAGAGAGAAGGACACGGTGCTGTTGCCGTTGTAATGATGGCAAAAATGTATGGCTATAGTGAAATATTTCATTAAAGCAGTAGGACAAACGTGAAGCAGTAACCATGGCAATGGAAAATATCCTGCACAATCCCATGCCTCTCTCTCTCTCTCTCTCTCTCTCTCTCTATAAAATAATGGCGAGCATTGTGTTAGTGTGTGTTCAATATGCTGTACATTCCATTTTGGAAATACATTCTCGGTCTTTCATATAAATAATCGTATTTGTTATCGTTTCGACTTCTCTCTGTGTTTTTCTCGTCTTTATGCACCGCATCGAAGCGTACGCATACACGCACTCTGGGTAGAAACTACCCTAAATTTCATTCCTCTCTTCAACATCTCTCTCGCTGTTGGTTCACTTCGCTTCGCTTCGGTTTGGTTTGTGTTTGCATTTCGTTTGCGAACGAATGAAATCGAAGCACAAATGCAATTGAAATGCGGCGATACACACATAAAGAGAGAGAGGGGGGAGAGGAAAAATCCGAGGGAAATCGCCGCTCGATGACACTGTGAATGATATATTGGGGCGTACGACAAGCAGGTTCTATTGAGATAAGACCAAAGATGTTCTTCGTTCCAACGAATCTTTTTTTCTCTGATGTTGTTAAAGACCTTGTACGCGATTAATTCGGCATGTTTGATTATATTTTCTTTCCTTTTATGCTGCTGTACACACGGACTTACCGTCGAATGATGGGAAAAACAACCATGATTCCCACTCACTCGCTCTCTCTCTCTCTCTCTCTCTCTCTCTCTCTCTGTTGCTATGCTGGTTTACAATACTGTTCACAGTTTTTTTAAGTCGTAAATATCACTTGGAATTTGCAATTTAATAGTCACTAACCCTAATTCAAACTGAAAGCATTTTAATGTTAATGCACACATATATTTTATTTTCATTGTTGTTTTGAAAGTATTTCATTTTATGTGAGTGTGTGTTTATTGATGAGTCCTGGCCACGCAAAAATAGACATTACGCCGGATGCACCGTTAAATGATCGACAATAATCTCACACATTCGCGGTCGTACACAAATGATGAGGTGCAATTTTTAACTAGTGAACACCGCCATATTCGGATGAATAATGAATTCATTTTTCGCAAAAACTTTTTGTAACATTCGAGACATTTCAACTACAACACAATAATAAAATATTCATAATATCATCGGAGTCGTAGCATAAATTATGCGAAATTTTCAACAACATTTGCGATGGACGCGTATATAAGGAGGCGACTGATGACGATATTCTGTTTTCAAGGTACAACGAATATACTTTAAGGGAGGAGGATTTGGTGTGAGTTAAATTTTTTCCTGTTCAAGTGCCCCTCTTCAATTGAAATAGCAAATTTGTACAATATCTTATTCAAATGACATTACTGAATGAGCTCCGTTTTTTTACGTTTTATAAATGATCTTCAAAAGTTTGAAGAAAAAAATCCTCTGCGAATGAATCGATCTTCTGCTAATCGTCTGAACAATTTTCAATTTAAACGATCCAACAATGTTCAAGCTAATTGGCATTTATATGTCTATTTTGTATCTTTAAAATATATCTTTGAAAAATCGACAACATCGGTCGGGCTTGCGAACTATGCTTTTAATAAGTATTTTTATCTCGAAAACTTTGAATAATTCAAATTGTTCAAACTTTTGAACAAATTCGACAGGATTTTTTAAATATTCGTAAGTTTAACTAAGCCTTCTTTAATTTCTTCAGTACTTCGCCAAATTGAAGCCAAATTCCATTGAAAATCGGCTTCGATTCATATCCAAAGTCGCAATTATTTTGAAAATTTAAATAATGCGATTGAAAATAATCCAACAAGCCAATTCATAATAAGAAACAAAATGCAAATGACGGATAAAGTGGATATTTACACGTGTTTTGTGTGCCGATTCGGTAGAGTGAAAGAGAGAGAGAGAGAAAGAGAGAGAGAGAGAGAGAGAGAGAGAATCGGATTGCCGATTTGGATGCGAATATTAATGAGGCTAGAAAGACAAGCAAAATAAATTTGGTCATGCGCTTTGATTGTAGCTTTAAAACGAGCGCAAAAATTGCATTCGCGATGAGTGAGCGAGTAAAGAAGAAAACAAGACCGCAGAGCGTCGCTCCGCTCCGCTCTGCGTTCTTGAGTTTATAGATACTTTTTCTATTTTGTTGTTCCACAACAAACTATTTTATTGGCGCACTACATGAAACGTATTTTATTAAAGTAGTCTTTGAATTATATTTGTGATTTGAATGTCAATTCCAATTGTAATTTTAGTTTGGTTAAAATTATTTGTAAAATCCATGAACTTTTCTGATGATGAAAATATTGACGTTGTAATGCGTGAAATTATATCTGTTGAAAACATTAAAATTAAATCAGTATCAAAACGGAAAAAGAAGTCTACCAATTTCAAGAAGTCCAAAAAGATGAAAGTAGAACCAAAAGGGTCTGAGAGAATGGATAGTGATAGTGCAAATTCATTAAAGCGTAAGAAGAATGTTCTGGATTCATCGTTCGAGAATGTTCTTTCTTTAAAGAAGAAAAAGAAGTAATATCATAAATTGGAAATATGGAAAGCAATAAAAACATCTTGTGTAACCTTATTCAGTTGTTGTTGTTTTTTTAATTTTTCATTTACATTACTATTTTTGTTATGTTTTGATATATACAAATAACAAAAAAAATAATAACGAAATGCATTTGTAGTCATCTCTGTTTTGCGAATATCGATTCGTAAAGTAAAACGAATGATAAAAGTATGATGAAAAGATGTATAATCAAAAAAGGGAATTAATTCTTGATAGTACATATGATATTAAATCAATTTAACTAAACCATTGTTTTATTATACGTTATTCTTCATTAATGTAACTCCTTTAAATCAAATAAATAATATGCGCATAGAATTTATCTCAACCATTACTTATACTACTGTGTCCAAAAAGTAAGGTGACATTGCATTTATTTTGAAAATTCTTTATTTATTCTTCCAAATCAATTTCATCGCCTTCAAAGTAATCCCCTCCCGATACAATGCACTTATGCCAACGGATTTTCCAATCTTCGAAACAGTTGAAAAAGTCGACTTCAGGGATGGCCCTCAGCTCCGTCTTCGCTGCGGCTTCAATCTGCTCTATCGTCTCAAAACGGTGTCCCCGGAGCGGTCTTTTGAGCTTGTTGAACAGCCAGAAGTCGCACGGTGCCAAATCAGGTGAATACGGTGGTTGTGGAACGATATGAGTCGAGTTTTTGGCGAAATGTTCACGAAGAATGATCGCATTGTGAGACGATGCATTATCATGGTGCAAAAACCAAGAGTTGTCTTTCCACAATTCCGGCCTCTTTTGGCGGATAGCGTTACGCAAACGACGCATAACACTCAAATAATATTCCTTGTTGACTGTTTGACCCGGGGGAAGGAACTCATAATGCACAACACCCCGATAATCGAAGAAAACAGTCAACATGACCTTGATTTTTGAGCGACTTTGGCGCGGTTTTTTTGGTCTCGGCTCACCTTTGGCACGATATTCGCTCGATTGGTCGGTTGTTTCCGGGTCGTAAGCATAGATCCAAGTCTCGTCTCCAGTGATCATGCATTTCGTCTTGTCAATGTAGTCAGAAAGCATTGTTTCACACACGTCAACTCGACACCTTTTTTCCAAAAAATTCAATGATTTCGGTACCAGTCGAGATTTGACGCGTTTGAGGCCCAAAACATCCTTCAAAATGGTATTGACTGAGCCTTTCGATATGCCAATATCATCAGCAAGGTCTCTAATCGTTAATCGACGGTTTTCCAACACCAAATCTTTAATTTTTTGGACGTGAGCTTCGTCGGTTGAGGTTGATGGTCGCCCAGCACGCTCTTCGTCTTCGACACATTCACGGCCTGCTTGGAACTCACTATACCACTTGTAAACATTTTTTTCGACATAGCCTCATCACCAAAGGCTTTCTGCACCATCCTCAACGAATCCGCAGCAGAAAATTGATTCCGCAAACAAAATTTAATGCAAATTCTTTGATCAACAAATTTCGACATCGCAAAAAACGAGAAATTCACTTTTAGCAGTCCACAAAACGAAGCGTATCTCAAACACTAATGAATATTTTGACGTGTAATTTGGCAGGGATGTCAAAGACAGTCCTACCAACCTAAAAATAAAAGGATTTTTTCAAATTCCCCAGCGCGCTAAATTTTAAATGCAATGTCACCTTACTTTTTGGACACAGTAGTACTAAAGGGTAAAAGATTACTATACAAAAAAAGGAAAAAGTAATGTAAATTTTAAATAACATTTGATAATAAAAATTTGATTAGCGTTTCGAGATACTATGCACTTATTTGTCGTTACTGCCACTAGTTTGAATTGAATAAAAAATATGAGCATAAAATTGAAAGCCACTCTAATTCTGTTCATGCATCGAAAAAGTATTAGAAAAAAAAAACGCAGATTAGTAGCTCTACATTTCATGTAGTGCTAAAAAGGAGGAAGAAAGAAAGATGCAACAGGACAGACAGACAGAGAGCAAGCAAGAGAGGGAAAGAGATAAAGAACGAAAGCAGAACTAGTACGAGTATGAATATCGTGCGAATGCATTGCGACAAGACCATATGTTCCATTTTGGCTCATTTCCGCACACATTTTTATGCCCGAGCTAACGACAAAATGTGCAAAGATTCGGACAACGAGAGCGAGAGCAAGAGAGTAGTATATTACAGTGAAAGTAAAATCTACTCGTTGGTAATATACTTAACCTTGAGCGCACCGTGTGTATCCCATACCGTACCGTACTGTTTACAAATCAACTGCAATTGCAATTGCACATTGTGGGTGTGTGTATGAGTGACGATGTAACGAATAAGGAGTGCAGACAACCAACAGTTGAACAGAAAAACAAACCATATTACAATGGTCGAAAGTGCCTCGTAATTGTAGCAGACCGAAAAAAATGCTCGTTGTTATTGTTGTTGTTGTTGTTGTACAGCATAGATAACGGTTGAAATTTACTTCGGGTAAATTTACATGACAAACATATGTTCATCGGGTCCTTCCGTGAACGCAGGACATAATACATATTGTTTTTCCGTCTCGCTTTCGATCTGGCACATATTTAGTTTTTTTTCCACTCTGTTTGTGCATTCCAAATTCCGGGTAAAATACCAATTTACAAATGGCTCGGTCTAACGACTTTGATGCATTTCATTTCGGGGATGCATAATGTAATTAATATTCAAAGAAGCCAAAGCCAACTATTACCACTCGAGTTTTTCCTTTTAAACTTTTTTTTCTGATAAGGTTTGGTTGATACGGGAACAATAATTTGAATGGGATTGGAACTGAAATTCGGATGCTTCTGGATAAATGCACTATTTGATCTAGCTTTTGGAGCTAAAAATGATCTTCCATTAAAAAATTGTAAGAAGATGCAAAATATCACAATTTAGTGTAGAGAAATGAGAAATAATTGCCAAAATTCAAACATGAATTGAAAATTTCAATTTGAAATATTCCATAAATCGATCAAGAAATAAAATCGAATTTTCCAACAAAAAGAGTCATTGTCCTCGCTTTATTCGTTCTTTGTTTTACAATTCTTATTCTATTCTAATCTTTGATCAATTTGGCCGAGTAAAGATCCATGGTTCTTCCGTTCATCGTACCACTTCACGAATTTCATTAATCCCGTTACAACGAACAGTTTCTATCCCCCGAAACCGTTCCCATGTTCAAATCATTATTCGAGTAATATGAACCAGTTAGATAACGGTTTTTTGATCATATCTTCATCAACTCAAATCCACCATCGAGACTCAAAACTGGAAAATTTAAACGAATTCACCGTTTCATATACACACACACACAAAAACTTCTTAGTCTTCGTTCCATTGATAGTATCATTTTCTCTGGTTTATTACTCAGTAAGCGATTGGTTACCCTATAGCGCGCGAGAGCGAAGGGAGACAAAGGAATCGGTACGACAACTGAAATAAAAGCGTTTAAATTGCGAAATGCATTCGGAATCGAAGTAAGTACGCGCATGTATTAGTAATTTAACGTATATTCGTGAAAGAAAGGAAGAGAACGAGCCAGAGGAAAAAAAAACAACAACATTAAAGCGACATACGGTGACGGAGTGAGACTTATGTGCTCATAATAATATTCTGATGTGACGCATCGAAATCTGTTTGCTCTCTCACTCTCTCTATGCTCAAGCCGAAGGAACTAGGAGCCGTGCATGTGTTGTTATGGTTCTCGATTTTTTTTTTTACTTTGTAGCCTTCCTTTATTTTGGCTCAGTACGCTTTCAATAACAACAACAATAACAGCGGCAACAAAGCAGCAACAGTACGCAGTACGAAAGAAGTAGAACTGTACGTCACCCATTTGAATGAAATTTATATACGTATCACGAGAAGGAGAGATAGAAATGAGTGTATTTTGCGTGCTCTTGCGCTACCGAATATGTTTATCGTATGAAAGCAAACGAGAACTGAAATAGAATATAGAACTTACATTCGGATGAAGAATAGTCACACTCAAGCGCACAGCCACACGGACGATATGCATGCATACACGCACACTCTAGCGAATGCGAGTCGCACGAATATACAGGCGAATGAAGGAAACATTGAACACGACCGACAAGCAAACACAAACCAAATATACGACACACACAGAAAGTAGTGCACGTCTACTACGCTTCAGGCCGTCTGATTCAGTTGAAATCAAACCGTTCGTGATAGTTGTTCAGTGCGCGTGTAACCCCGTCTATATTTTGAATTCATTACTCTTTTTTTTGAAATCCGATCATATTATTTTGGGAAATTTTACCCGGTTCCGATCGATCATATTCGGTTGTTTATTGTCGAAATATTGGTGTTTATTCAAAATTCATCGTAGTGACTGACTGTAGAAATAGTTTTTTTTTCTTCTGAAAAATTAAACGAAACGAAAGAGAAATTCAAACAACAAAAAAAAACAGTTTTATTCGGACGACTGAATTTGTTTGTGTAAGGATTCGTTTTTTATCCGGCGAGAACAGAAGCAGAAAACTTGGAATTTTGTGAATTTATTTTTCTTTCATCAAGTTAACGTTGATTCATTTGCACAATACCAACAACACTTTGGTACTGAATCATAACACACGTATGTATTCTAATACCCAATCATCATTTTCTGAATGACAAATACAAATTAAAAACACACAACTCACGATATAGGAAATGATCATAGAAACCAACTACTTCAAATTTCTCGAACCGTTACAAGTTTATTTTTTCTTCGTTGCTTTGGTGATGAAAGAATGAGAGGAAAAATAAGAAAAACAACGATCGTTTTTGAAAATGAATTTGTGCCAAAAACAAATAAAATGTTCCTTCGGTGCTCATCGGGGAGGGGGATGGGGGGGTACTGACAACCGTTTGAGTGCATTACATTATTTTCTACTCATCCCAAAGATTTAACGATGCATCGATCGGATTTGTCACAACGCATCGAATTTTCCGACCTTGTTAAGGGTGTTTATTTCAAAAAAAAATATAAATTCATTCTGAAATAGAGGAAGATGAAATGAAACGGAAAAAAATGAAAATAAAACGGATTTCATCACACAAAAAAATGCTTCACGGATTGTAACGAATTTGTCAAACAACGACTTCGAGTGTAGTGTGCCAAGCCAATTTTTTTCTCTATCCTTTGAATTCGTCACCGTTCGTTATTCAATTGATCGGCGCATTTTTTTTTCTGCGACAAATTTTTACGATTGAAGACGGGACATTTGTGGTTTTATCTTTTCTTATAAAAAGCAAAATTCATTCGTTTTTTCGACCAAATGCAATGGACTTTGAATTCTGGTTAAAACAAAAACAAACTTCACCGGCTCGAGAATTTCGAATTTGAAGAGAAGATCTTCATTCGATAACTAACAAACGTCGCACATGCGATTCGAAATAAAAAAAAACTACGTAAAATCATTGCGATCATAGTCGCATCAAAGTGATTAATCAAGACTCACCAATGTGAGTGTAAGTTGTTCATTGAACACGACAGAGATAGAGAGAAATGAAGTGACGATATTTTGACCTGACTCGAAAACACTTCACGTCTTGTTGCCAATTAAAATGTTACCGAAGCGAGAGAGCGAGCGCGCGCGCACTCGAAAACGCACAAAAATCGACGTCTACTAAAACTGTAACCGAGAATGAGATGCAAAATGAACGCGTTTATGACAAATGAAGCCAACGAAGAAAAAAAAACACATACTAAAAATTTCGTGTATGATTCCCCACGACCATGCATGTACATACATGAGAAAGATCTGAACGATGAAGCGAACAGAAAAAAAATGATTTTCCGTAAAATTCTTGTTTATGTGTTCGGTGTGTTTTATGGAATCAGTAATGTTTTAATGTGCGACTAAGACGGTTAATGTCTCAGAAAAGGCAACGAACAGAAAAAAAAAGAATACACATCGACAACAACAACAAAAAACAGAACACATATGATAAAAATTAACCAACGAAAGAAGTCACAAAAAATAATAATACATTGAACATGTACGCGACGCATACATTGTTGTGAATTTAAGCAGCGCGCCAAGAATTAACGGTAAAAGGGAAGAAACACGAAAGAAAGAAAGGAACTATGAACTCGAACGAAAAAAAAGACAACAACAAAAAACGCACACACGGACTGGATGGAGTGAAGTGACGTTGCGCTCAGAGTGCAACTAACAATTGCAGTTTTGGCGGGTGATCCTGTATATAAAGTGATCTTCATAATGATGATTTGGTGACTAGTTTGATCTGTCTTGATTTTCGAAACTGAAACACATTTCTATTTGCTTCTATCAGATCACACGCTATATGAATCGCAAGAGTTTTGTATTGACCAAATGGTTTGATGACTTCACTGCAGCAGACTAGCTTGATATGAGACGAAAATCAAGCCAAAAATAAAACGATCAGCAAATTTTTACGCTATTGTAGTCAAGTCAATTGAATGAAGCAATACCTTTTCTGTCATTTGATGTTAATATGCAATGTTCGAAAAGTGTATCGATTTATGTTCTTCCTAACGATGGAAGGAGATGGAAGAAAAGACGATTGAGAGATGGCCAAGATAATAGAGTGAGAGAGAGGGAGAGAGAACGAAAATTCTCTTGTCGAAGAATGTGAATTGTGTCTTCCAACTTTGCCACAGTTGAAAATTCCAGTTGTATCGTTCGTTCTGAGTCAGTCACCCGAAGTGTGTGACCATCTGGAGACAATATTGTCTCATCGTTTGTTACAATGAAGAAAAGAAGAAAAAGACACATGCGAACAAAAGGCAAAATGCTAAGAAATCGGTTCACCGTACGCCTTACGTCTTGCTACGTTTTTTTCTCTGGAAAAGCCGAATTCATAGATGTGAGTGTGTGTTGGTTAACATGTTTGGGATTTGGGTTTGCAGGATATGTTGTTGTTATCGATAACACTCGACGAGCATCTTTTTGGCATTAATCGGTGTTGCATGGCACAGTATATCGCACCCGATACCAATTACTCGTTCGCCTAAACGCTGGAAATTATTCATATTTATTTCGGTTGTTTCGTCAAGGGAGCCAAAAATAGATCCATGAATTGTGATAACTAACAAATGTGTCGTTGAGAATAAAAATGGGATTAGCCGAAACCGCTCATTTACATGTGAATCATTTTTATGTTCCTGGTAAGAGATAGAAGACATATGTCTGCTGCAATGTTTTAGAATATTTCAAGATCTTTATCTTTGCTTGAGATACTTGCCCCATATCTTGTACCAGAAACACAAAAATGATTCGCATAAAAAAACGCGGTTTCGGCTAATCCCATTTTTATTCTCAACGACACAAATGTAATGTTCATCAGAATGGTGTGTGTATGTGTCCGGTCCATGTTACAATTTCATTAAAAATGATCGTGTGTAAATGTTCGATGAACACCCCATCAACAATTGACGAACACCAAGCGTCGACTAAGGGAGAGAGAGAGAGAGAGAGAGAGAGAGCGAATAATATTCAAATTGTCAAAAATGTTTAGGCATACTTTTTGTCGTCATCGTTGTTGTTATTGTTGTTCTGTCGTTCTGTCGTCTCGGTTTGTACTCCATAAAAATGCCGCGTGTGTCGTGCTCAAAACGAATAAAACACATTAATTTCGTTTATGTGTTCATGTTAACATATTGCACCTGGGATTTGAATACACGGTGTACACAATGAGAGCATTTCAACGATTCTCCTCTTTTTTTCTCTTCAATTTTTTCGTTTCATTTCTATCCCTTACACATGGAGAGTGAGTGAGTGAGCCCGCGCGCGTGGAGAGACACAAGGCACACCGTGTAAATGCGTTTCATTTGCTATGGTCATTTTAATTGTGTATCTGTATGTGTCTTTCTATCTAGAAAATTGCTCGAAAATTTCAACTTTCCATTCATTGAATAGAGAACCAAACAGATACGAATGAGCGAACGAACGAACGAACAAACGAAAAAAAAGAGATAAAGCGACACATACTGCGTGCACGGTTCGGTTGCTGACTCGCTATTTGACATACAATTACCTGAAATCGCCACAGATAGCCCACTATCACGTTTGCCATAGACCGACCGCTTCCATTGTATGTCGGCGTAAAACAGAAAAAAAGCAAATTGGTCGTTGTGCACACAACACATCGACAATCGACAATAATTTGATAAATTTTTGAAGTTTTTTTTTTGCCGTTGCTATTTTCGGCTTAAAATCAAGGTCACACACATCGATGCTTTCGGACAATGATGATATTGCAAATCACACATATCATATGAACAATCAGCGATTTTATCATCGTCGACTTAACTTTGAAAATTTAATCTCAGTTTATGATCGGATTTACAATTGTAACTCTGAATTTTCGGCACATGAGATTACATCTTCGTCGGTGAAAAAAAGTTGGCGACGCATTTTTCCACACATTGATCACACAAACCTTGATCACTGGGGAAATGATTTCAAGTGAAAATCGTTTGGTTTCAGCGGAAATTCGACTGGTCGCTGATATTCAAATTGTTCTACCTCAAACTATTGTTTCTTCAACAACTTCGAATTGATTCGTCAGTTTCTTTCAATGAACTAAATGGCTCTTTTATTCACAAATGACAAATGATTCATAAAAAATGGAGTCGAAGAATGCGAAAAAAAGCGGAGAGAAGGATAAACATGACTGCCCCCCCAATACCGGAACGTTGTAAACAAAACATCCATTTTGGTGGTATTTATTCTATGAATAGACAAGAGTTTGTTGAATTGTGGTTGAAAATCGATTGTTGTCGAACATGGTGCAGTCGCAAGCAACGTCGTCCGAATAATTACATTATGCAAAATGCTATTAGGAGCCCGTAGATAAGGACTGTGTCCAAATATAGAAATCTGACGTGCATGTGTGTTTAAAATAAAATAGAGAAAATGAATAGAAAAGAGGATGACACACACGCGGTGTGTGTGTGTGTGTCTGTGCAGCGTATTCGGGGTAATAAAAATGCAAAAAATTCATGAAATTCGCTTGGTCGTCGTCGAATGTGTGTATATTCAATGAAATCGTCCTGTTGCACCGCGCATTCAACACACGTTGTCGTTGTTGTTGTTGTTTTTTTCTCTTCTCTTCTTTGCTTTTAAATCGATAGTTATGAAACATTGGCTGTTGTTTTTGTTGTTGTTGTTGGTTGAAGGCACGGTTTTAAACCGAACAAAAAGGGGCGAACATCGTCACATCGTAAAATATGTGTGAGCAACACATTTGGATGGAAGCGTAAGCATCGGCTTGCAATATACAACATCTATTCGATATGAACCGAAAATATATGTACGATTGACATGCACATCGGCCGAGTGTGTGTGTGTGTGTTGAAGAAGAAAGGAGCGCGCGCGATCCGAAAGCAAAGCAACGGCAAAGTGTTCCGTTGTAATAAAAGTAATGCACAAAACAGGGAAAACTCAGTTCGGCGAACGAGAGCAACAGCGAAATAAATAGCAATCAAATGCAAATGAAGAACAACACAAAAAGATAATGGGGTAACACTTTGGTATTAATGCCTTCGTTCTGAATAGATGTGTGTTTATTAGTTGAGCATAAAGCCCATAAAGAGGGAGGGAG